TAAGTTGTTTCTTCCGTAAGTCAAGAAACACTTAGCAATATTTCCACATCCTTTTTGTATTTGATTTTCTTGTTTTATATTATAAGCCGTTTCTTCCGTAAGTCAAGGAACACTTATAAATATTTGTGCATTTATTTTACTTGATTATTTTCTGTTCTAAGTTGTTTCAAAAGTAAGTCAAGAAACACTTAGACATATTTCTATAATCTGCCTCATTTTTGCATTTCTCGTTTTATACTTTGAGTATTTTATTTTTTCATTCTAAGTCGTTTCTTCCGTAAGTCAAGAAACACTTAGAAATATTTCCATATTTTATTCTCGCATTTACATATTTCATTTATCTATATTTCTGTCCTAAGTTGTTTCTTCCGTAAGTCAAGAAACAATTAGAAACATTTTTTTTGCATTATATTTTTATACCATTTGATTTACTTGTTTACTAAGTTATTCCTTTAGTAAGTCAAGGAATACTTAGATCATTTTTAACTATCTGTTTTTCCATTTTTGCCCTGTTACTTTGTAACTGTTCCTTGGAACCGTTACCTATAACAGATATTTGTCACTGGAACTGTTATTTATAACAGCGGTGGTATTTAACCTTTCTACCAGCGACAAACCAAAGATGGTGAATACCCGATCCAATTCCGGGGATAGGAAGAAGCCCGAAGAGCCGGCGATAGGTCCTACAGGCCCAAATGCCCCCTTTCGGCAACATACTAGTAGACATAGTTTTGTTTTGACTGCGTGTGAAGGCGGACTTGTACGCAGTTTTTGGAAAAATGGAAACATAGCAAATCGGCCAGTGATTCAATTCTTGTTTTTGGAAGAGAAACCAGAGAGTCGTACTTTGCAGACTTCGAGAAAACGTATTTTTCAGACAAGTTAAAGAAGATGGAACATCGCTGGGTCAAATGTATCTATAAGTACTAGGTTTTCTACGCAGATATTGGTCACAAAATATGATATTACAATAAATGTTCAAAATGACCCTCATTTTCTTCAATAAACATTCGGTATCGTTTTAATAAGGAAACTCGAATGAGCTGAAAAATCATATTTTTCTGACGATATTGATTTGCAGCTTCAATTATTCTAACCCTCAATTGTTGTTCGTCCTCTATTGTTACAGAATACACTTTCTCTTTCATAAACCCCCAAAAGCAAAAGTCCATGGGGTTAAGACCTGGACTTCTGGGTGGCCAAGAAATAGGTGCGTCACGACCCCTATCAATCCACCGACCAGGATACTGTCTGCAAAGATATTCCCAGACTTCACTACTGTAATGCGGTGGAGCTCTATCTTGTAGAAACCACATATTTTGCCTTATTGCAATATTCACTTCTTTGAAATAATCTTGTAAATCGTTTGCCAAGAACTGCAAATAATTATCACCATTTAACTTCTTGGGAAGAAATACTGGGCCTATTAGATTGTTATCCATAGTTCCTGCCCAAGCATTAACTTTGAAAGTCCTTTGGTGATGAGTCGTTTTTTTGGCATGAGGATTTTCGTCGAATCAAATGTGCTTATTACGAAAGTAGCCTAGTCGGTAAATAAAATATTTCTAATAAAATTAACATTTTGAATGTTTTCCATTAACAACCAACCGCAAAATCCAATCCTTTTAGGATAATCTTCAAACAATAACTCTTGAACCGTTGTTATGTGATAGGGTTTAAGCAGCTGACCCTTCAAACGCCTTCTAACAAACCCGTGTAGGGTTGTGTTATAGAGGTAGTACCTTTTATCGGAACGACCACATCGAGCGTCATAGACGGGAGATGGTTCTTGATAACTGGTCCTCATAAGACACCCAACTCTCACTTATGGCTCCACGTGCCACATCCTGGGCAACTGCATTGGTCTGCAGGCTAAACTAAGTGAGGGTAGCCAGATATGGTGAAAATAGCAACGTCTGTACCCAGAACGGGCGGTTGCAAACGGCGTCTGTTCCATAGTGGGCGGCTGAAAACTAAGCCCTGAAGCGGCATGAAGGAAGGCAACGGGATACCACCTTCATTATATTTCCCAAGACAATCACATGAATACATTCAACTCAAAATTATCCGGAGGTATAAATAGTTCCCCACTCGGATCTCCGGGGGGAGCGGTCTTGAATGTTTCAAACGTACGAGCAAACTTAAGAAAGACATTAAAGATAGGCACCTGGAATACACGCAGCTTATTTGAAGCCGGGAAGCTGGCTAACCTAACTCAAGAAATACATACTTTTACTCAGGCAATGATGACCGCGATCATAGAAAAGGCGTCGGGATTATGATAACTAAAAGATTGGTGAGAGCCGTCACAGAGTTTGTACCATATTCCGACCGCACAGCCTTAGTAAAACTTGAAGCGAAGCCAAATAATCTCAACATCATACAGGTTTATGCACCAACTACAGACGCATCAGATGAAGTAGTGGAAAACTTTTATAGTGAAGTCAAAGAACTACTTAAATTGACAAAGAAACATGATGTCAACATAATTATGGGAGATTTTAATTCCAAAATAGGGAAGGGCAGCTTTGAAGACGTAGTTGGACCCTATGGTCTTGGAACAAGGAACGAAAGGGGCGACTGACTTATACAATTTTGTCAAGAAGAAAACATGAGAGTTACCAACACATGGTTCCAACTCCACCCCCGTCGCCTTTATACTTGGAAATCTCCAGCCGATAGAGCTCAGAACATAATAAGAAATCAGATAGACTTCATTCTTATCAACGGTAGATTCAGCACAACTGTCAAAAGAGTTTGCACATACCCTGGAGCAGATGTCCCTTCTGACCACGTACTATTAGTGGCCGTCATAAAGATCGCTTTTTCATGCAAGAACAAGCCTGAAACTCAACAACAGATAGCACTGGATAAACTGAAAGACCCAATGATACAAGCAGAAATAAGGGCATAATAAATTGAATTCCCATTCCCGTCGCATTCCTCTCTTGCATTCAATAATAAATTGAAGGCAAGAGAGGAATGGGACGCAAGAAAATGTCCTGCTCCGAAACATAAGGCAATGGACAGGGATTAACGACATACAATCTCTGATACATATTGCAAGAAATAGAGAATTAATGGAAAATGTGATCGCTAACATCCATTAGTGGATTTTCATCTGAAGAAGATGAACTTCAAAGGACTGTAACTTTTTTTGTGTACACTTTTATAGTAAGGTAAGTTGGATTCAACCTTTTTTTTGTCCCTGGAATGCGTGATTTAATTTATGACATACCTTTTTGAAACACCCCGTATGTAACATTATTCTGCATCTATTTTGAAATTGGAATTTCCGTGACCAACGTTTAAAAGATTTTATTTAATAATTGTATACTTTATATAAAAAAAGATATACAAATCCATTTATGTCCATTTGAAGTCATAAAAAAACCTATGAATCATGCAATTCAGATATTCTAACTAAGAAATTGTAAGTGCATAACACATAGTCAACACGACTATAAATAGATTGATCGCTAATTTTACATTACCCAGTGCGACAGAGAAAACTCACGCAAAGCAGTCCCTGCACTTTTTTCTAATGGGCCGGGTTTCCCGACCACGTGACCTTCTTGGTCATTTAGGTCATGTTAGAAGGCCAAAAAAATTCTCAGATTTCTCTGTCGTACTGGGGGAACGACAAAATTTTAAAATTATTATTCGTGTTTTGTACATTTACACTTTGGACTTAATTTTACTAGTAAGTAAACTAAGTAAGTAACTGCTTAAATACACTACTCTCCAAAATTAACGCAGCTCCTTAAATGTACTAAAAGTTTGAAGCTATTTCTCTTCTGAACTGTTTATTTGATTTAGATGATATTTTTCACATTGAAGGTCTACTTCTAAGGAATTACTGTACTATTTTTTTCTGAGAAATGTTAAAGTTTTACCCATTTACGGGATGTAAAAGTAAAGTTGTGTTTTCCATCTTTTGTTACATTTTGCAACACTCTGTGGAATTTATTAAAAACAAACTCTTACATCATATCACTATTATCAAAGATTACACAAAACTTTACACACAAAAATTTAATAAGTCTTTATGGACATTTAAATCAACTAAAGCCTAAGAAAGCATAATCTAAATAATCTTTAACAAGTTCTCTCTTTCAAAAATATTTAAAAAGAAGTCTTCCCATGTCTATTTCGAATTACTTCGTCACATCGACTAGGTATACTTAAAATTAAGCACCGTATTTGGTCTTCAAACAAATTCTCTATGGGATTCAGGTCAGGGCTGCAGTGTGGTCAGTATATGGTTTATAACCAACCTCGTCCAAATAATTACTGACCAGACGTGCCTATATCATGTATTAAAAGAAAATTGTCATTATGAAGAAACCTGATAAACTGATCTTGGCGTGGTATTATGACCTTTCCTCTTTCTTGTCCAGGCCACTTCGTTGTTTCTCGAAAACAATGTTGAGTGGCTAATGATATTTGGAGGAGTGTAGTATAAGATTCTTTACTGAAGCCTATTTCACGATAACTTATTGCTACATCGGCTAAAGTAATTGCTTGTATATTGTCAATCTAAAAATCCTATCAAGTTTTTTAATATATTATAGCCAACTATCTGCTTATGTTCCATTACTGAGTATTACGAGTAGAATTGGTGTACGAGTAGAATTGGTGGTACAAGTGTATGGATTGTGATACAACAGTTAGAACTTAACAAATACGATGAAAAAACTCTTCATTTTTACATTCGTTTATGAGTAAAACGTTGATATGTCTCAGACAACATTGGTAGAGTAATTCCTTAGAAATATATCTATAATGTGAAATAAAAATCATCAAAATCGAATCAACGATTTAAAAGAAAAATAGCTTATGATACATTTAATGTGGTACGTTAATTTCAAAGGGTAGTGTATATAAAAGATTAATTTAAAAATATAAATAGTCATTGTTATGTTTAGAATAAAAAGTAAATAGAAAACGAACATAACTTAAACTATAATTCAGTCTAATCTATTTTAATATAAACTTACCTAAAACTACAACTATTCTATCTCTTCTTAATCTAACAGCCAGCACTGGAGCGTTAAATTCCAAGGAAATGGGCGACGTCTTCTTTAAATCGTCCCATACTATCACCCTGTTTGTAGGATATAGTGGTCTTGGACCACCCCCGACCAAAGCGAGATAATTACATCTAAACAACATCTCAACAAAACTGAGACCTCCATTATCGAAATCTTGACGTTCCTTCTCTTTTAGAGGATCACAGTTGTATATACGAAAGCCAGTTGTTGTAGCACAAGCAAAACAACCTGAAAATAATAATAAAAAACAATTACAAAACAAATTATACTCTTTTACTTGAACATTATTATCGATATCACAGTTTTTATGATACAGCTAATAATACCAAAAAGTAATCTCATAAATCAATATAAATAAATTTCCTTGCATTTCCTTTCATGCATTTCCGAATTGAGTATAAATAATGTTCCAAACACTGTTCATTGAACGAGTACAAAATTACAATTACCTCGGAACAAATATTAACGAGTCAAACGAATACACCAGAGAAATAAGAATAAGAATAGAGAAAGCCCGCAGTGGCTTTAACAACATGAAACAAATGTTGTGTAGCCGAAACCTAAGCCTAAAGCTGAAAATACGAATGCTTAAATGTTATGTTTTCTCGGTCCTGTTATATGGGGTGGAGGCGTGGACACTAAATAAGCAATGTATGGGTAAGCTGGAGGCATTTGAGATGTGGGCGTACCGAAGAATGTTAAAAATCTCCTGGGAGGATAAGATAACTAACCAAGTTGTATTAGACAGGATGAACAAACAAAAGGAGGTCGTATTGGGTGTTAAAATGAGGAAACTACAATATCTGGGACACATTACACGTGGGAATAAATATCAACTGTTACAACTAATTATGCAAGGAAAGATTGAAGGTAGGCGCAGCATAGGTAGGAGAAGAATGTCATGGTTGAGAAACCTCAGGGAGTGGTTTGCTTGCACTTCCATACAATTGTTCCGAGCGGCAGCCTCCAGGGTCAAAATTGCCATGATGATAGCCAACCTTCGTAACGGAGATGGCACGTGAAGAAGAAAATGTTCCAAAACCATTTTTTTTTTATTTAAACAAATTAATATACCCGCATCAACCACTAAGGGTTATTAGCGGGGGGACATACACAAACAGTAGGTAACATACATATTGTTACATAAAAAAATATTTTTTTCAATCTGGTATATAGTTTAGTCATTTTAAGATAACTTAATAAAGACTGTAAGTTTGACGTTAGTACTTTTTAGATTGTCACTAAGGGCACACGCGATTCTTTCGTTCTGGTACACTGGACACTCAACTCGACAATTATATGTTTCACTGACAACAAAGTGTTGCACTTGGTACACATCAGAGCAGCCTCCTGGTTGAAGATGACTTGGTCTTTTCTATTACTTAGTAAGATGAGTTTGGTTCCTACTTGACTTAGATATTTTTTGAGTTTGTTGGCAGTGTGATCATAAGTAGTTTGTCACGCTCTGTACATGTGGGCTTTGATATTTACTTTATCAGTCCAAGGCATTTGATTTGTTGCATTGCTTGCCAGAGAGTCCACTTCCTCATTACCACTTATTCCCATATGGGAAGGTATCCAGATAAAGGAAATATCTCTTTGTTGAGTCTGTAGATAACTCTTCTTTAATCTTGAGAAGTATGCCGTGAGTTGTATATAGCTCTTTTATTCCAAGTAATACGCTCATTGAATCGGTGATGATTTGATTTTTTGATTTGATGAGCAAATTTGCTTTCCTTAATAGAACCACATTTTTTCATGGCCTGGTGAATTGCCGTAAGTTGTCCGGTATATACACAACAATTTTTTGGCACTCGTATGGTAGACTTGACGTTTTCGTAGATGTAGGCTGCAGCATGTCCTTCATCACATTTGGAAGCATCAGTGAAGATTTGATGGGTTGTTGGGTATTTGGATATTACATTTTTACAAGCTTGCTGTATAAGGAAAGGATGTGTGGAATGTTTCGAGAGTTCTTTTAGAGACGTGTCTATTTTTGGAGGTTTGATCATTCAAGGAGGAAAATTTACATGAATAGACATAGTAAGACTGAAATGTTCTAAATTAAGACCAATACATTTTATTCACTCAGGAAATGGTATTTTTTTTATTATAATGTTTCTGTAAAGATCGGGCGATATATTTGTTCTGCAAAGTATTGTTGAGTAGGTTATGTTGCTGTTGTTGGCTGAATTTCTGGCAACGTAATTTAGTGATAGGAGTTGCCTTCGTTGGCTTAAGGGCAGTTCATTAGCCAGAGCTTGTAAGCTACTTACTGGACTAGTTATTGTGGCACCTAAAACTAATCTCAAGCACATATTTTAAAAAATGTAGTCAAGTTTTGTTTAAAGATGTTTTGTTAGCAGTATCAAAGCATAAACAGCTGTAGTCTAGTTTACTTCGTATTAGTGATCTGTATAGAGTAAGTAAAGTTGTTGTATCTGCCCCCCAAGAGGTATTTGACAGCATTTTTAGTAGATTAATTCTGGATTGTCAAGAATGTTGCAGATTGGTTATGTGGCTTTCTCAGTTTAAGTTACGTTCAAAAGAAAGTCCTAAGAAATTTATTTCTTCTGCGTGTTTCAGGATAACTCCATTTAGTGTTAATTGAACATTGGGATAATTTTTTCTTTTGCTAAAAATTAAATAATGTGTCTTTTCACTAGAGAATATAAAACCGGTGTTTTGCGACCAGCTTTCAATTGTGTGTAAGGTAGTTTGCAATATATGTGTTCCCAGAGTTACATTGTTTGTTTTTAGTTACATAAACGACTAAGTCATCTGCATATAGGCTAGTAAATACAGGTGGTTTTATTTGATATTTAATACTATTTATTGCAATTAGAAACAGAGTAGGACTTAATGCAGATCCTTGTGGAGTGCCGTTTTGAAGTACTCGTCTGGAAGATGTAAATCCATTGGTTCTAACTTGAAAAGTTCGTGTTTCTAGAAAATTTTTAATAATAGACAACATATGTCATTGCACATCCCATTCTTGAAGTGTTTTTAGTATAAGATGTCTTCCATGTTGTGTCAAACGTTTTTCTTATGTCCAAAACCATCTCATTTTACTATATTACAGGTATAGTTATGGTTGGGCTTTATTTGGAGTTGCTATGTTGTACTATAATAACTTTTAGAAATAAAACATCTTATAGTCTAACTTATTAACTACATTTTTATTGGCTTTTTGACAGAAGTTCGCTGCAGAATTGTAACCAAGAAATGCATAGAAAGGCAGCGCATCTTCCGATCGGGCCTTCCTACCACAGTGTATTTTTCGGTGCTGTTCTGCTTTACCACAACATCCAAAGCTAAGCTAAAGAGGATCGCAAGAATCTAACATGTTCATCCTATCGAAATAAAGAATACTTACATATCCCTCTAAATGAACATTGTAGTGGTAGTCCGATCGGAATCAAGTCGGTCTACATCTTGACCCCAGCTAGACCTTGTTGGCTGAGTACCTTTTTTAACGATTCTGCGTTTTATTATTACCTGAGTGAACATTTCTTCGATTTAAGAAGACTTCGCTTCAAAGATGATTCCAAAAGCTCTTTAGTGTTTGAATAAACACAAAGCCCTGTGGCTACGATATTATTCAAGCCAACAAGAAGTTTAGGAACCAGCGTTTGTTGACTGTTGGTCTATCTTTTGTCAAGGTAAAGAAAAGTCTGGCAACGGACTTACAATTATCTCGCGGAAGCTAGCTAACAGCTTGGAGAGAACGCTCCCTGGCCAAATAGACATCGATCTTTGAAATAGGGAAAGACAGATTGTCTTAAAGCTATTTCAGATCGTATCGAACTGACACAGCGTTCTACTAGACTAATGATGGTTAGGAGTAAATAAAAGATCCAGGTGGACTTAGAAAAAATGTCAGATCTCAGGTTAGAATAAGGACATAATCAATATAGAGGTAATAATCATTAAATCAGAAAAGGTACAGTCCCTTTAGTAATCGAAACAACAACAGAGAAAGATGAAAATTAAGATATACATACTGGCAAAGATAATAACAAATATCATAACTTGGGTGATCTTTGAATACAAACAAATCAAATATCAAAAATGCAATTAATATTTACAAATCAACTTCTGTAAATAAAAACACGAAAATCTACAATAATTATCGCAATTTGTCTCTTAGTTATTTCTTTGTAGGAATCTACCACAAATTTGTCCAACTATAACATATTTTAGTTTTACAAACTACCCTTAACAATAAAATGACTAAAACCTAAAGTATTGTTTTTTTTATTGTATTGTATTTTATTCAAAAATTATGGCCGTTGAATTAAAAATTCAAGAAATAATAAAAATACATAAACACCATACAAAATTTTGATTTTGATAAACTTAATGAAAACTTTTTTTTATTTTGTCCTACATGCATATTCAGAATACAAATATCATTAAGTCCAATGAAATATATATTATAGTACATAAATTATCCAAGCCTCCCCACAAATATAAATAAATATTTTTTCTTATAATATTATGATACAGATAACTTGAAATATAAAAATAACTATAAATGCATAGGAAGTTGTAAAAAACATCTGTTATCAAATGGCACATCAATTAAATACCAAATAATTTTCGCAACGAATGTTTGTTTACAGTAATATAAAGCTATTAAACTGTTTAAACATATTTTGTAACATTACAATTATAATTTTTTCAATTCTGATAAAATATACAATAGTGAATAGAACTTACCATGATCTTGATTAAAACCTACATAATTTAACCCATTATTACACGAGTTAGTTTGACATAAATTCATTTCGTTTAGATGTGTAATTTAAATTGTTAAAAAGGTTCATACATAAAATATCATTTTCTACCAAATTAAATGTACTAAAGAATTAAATATAGACATTGACAGAACAGAAATTCATAACAACGATGTATAACCTAGAAAATTGTAACATATATCTTCCTCTTCATTTGAATTGGAGTCTAATGATAAATCCATATACAGCTCCTCATTTTTCAGAAATCTCCAACAAAATAAAGTTACTTTAGTTCAAATATATATTTTTAAATGCTGCAAAATTGTTCTTTAATTGTATAATTTTACAAATAATTTATAAAATTATTATATATTATTAAATTGTAGTCAATTTGAAATTAAGATAAATTTTGGTTATCTCCCTGTATAATTTAACCTCACCTCAAGCCAACTTTTGTAGGTTAAGTGAATTCTTGGTTGGTTTAGGTTGTGACAAACAATAATGTTTGTATAAACATTTTGATTTTTAGCTTCATATTAAATTAAAAAAACTTACGAAAATGGCTGAAATGTTGAAAGAATTACGAGAAAAATCTCGCAAAAGGAAAATGTTGTTAGCACAAACAGTAAGTAAGGGAATATTTTGCAAACCACATCTTACCTTTTCCTTTTAGTTTGGTGTATCTGGTATTGATGAATTAAGAAGTGTATTAGGAACCGGAGAGACTTCTCATGAAAAATCAACCAGCAAAGAAAATGCTGGAGAAAACGAAAAATATGGTTATAAAAATAAGGACTATACAGATGAGTTAATTTACAAGGATTCTTCTCTGTTTTTAAAGGTGTTTATATTAAATTTCAGTAATGTGTAGCATATTAGTATGTTTATATGTTGTACCATATATTTCATATTCATATTCTTTATGATTCTGCTCCAGTCGATTGTTGTTTGGTAAGAATTCTATAATAAAAGACATAGGTAGCAAGTTAGATTGTATTGACAGTTCCAGTTCATCATACTCTTGGATTGGCCATAAACTTCGTCTACTTTTAATAATTATTTTTTAAGCTGTAGCATCATCTGCATCATTCATTGATTCTGAGGATTTATTTTGATCTATATATTGAGCTATAAATTACAAATATTACTGAACAATAATCTGAGGTTTCTTGTATACTAAGTCAATAAAAAAGTTTTTCCAGATAATTTGTGTTAGGTTTTTTGGTGAATACAGTTTTTATTTCTAAATTAATGAAAAACAATTAACACACAGTTGAATTATTTTGTTGATATATCTAATTTTGATAGAGTTGACACAGTTTTGTTATAATTATTTTGTCATTCTTTGTTAAAAAAGCAAATGAAGGTGTTTCTTTTGTACATAGAATAATTAAAGTTTAAACACATGTTTTAATAATTTTCACACAAATTGTTGTCATCCTCCTTTGTGCAAAAAATTAATCAAATACAGTTTTGTAACATGTTTTATGATTTGAGAAAATAATATGTTTTTAAATTGAACTCTAAAGATATGCTTACATGGTTTACTGACACACTATTGTCATTTTCTTTGCATAAAAAAGGGTAAAAAGGGATTCGGACAAAGTTCTGTAATAGAATTCAAGATTTTTGAGAAAATAAGTAATATTTCTTTAAAAACGACAGTAATATTAGATAAATTGAATTGAAAGTGCACATTTAAAGATATATTTCTAGAAATTTCCACTTTATCAGTCAATTTAGTGAATTTCTTATTATATAGGAAACGAAGGGCCTAATAACAGGGCACAGTGAATCAAATTATTTATTATGCTGGGACTGATATTAATTTATTATTATTTTAATTCAAAATTTAATTCTATTGAATTTTCAGGGAACACAATCTTCAAATCCTCACAATGATTACTGCCAACACTTTGTAGATACTGGTCAGAGGCCTCAAAACTTCATTCGTGATGTTGGTTTAGCAGATAGGTTTGAAGAATATCCCAAGCTACGAGAACTTATCAAGTTGAAAGATGAACTCATTCAGGAGACTGCTACTCCCCCTATGTATCTTAAGTGTGACCTAATGACTTATGACTTAAAAACAATTAATAGTAAATTTGATGTGATATTAGTGGAACCACCATTAGAGGAGTATCAAAGGACTATGGGTGCAACAAATATGCAGTTTTGGAGTTGGGACCAAGTGATGAATTTAGATGTTGGTGAAGTGGCTGCCCAAAGGAGTTTTGTATTTCTGTGGTGTGGGAGTTCAGAAGGGCTAGATATGGGGAGAGTTTGTTTAAGAAAATGGGGTTTCAGGAGGTAAATATTTTTGTGACACTGGTATGTCTATTTTTGTGACTTTGGTATATTCGTTGTATTTATTAGTAAGTATTATTTGATTTAATTTTGAAATTTATGTGAAATCAATTTGTTATTAAGAATAATATAAAAAAAATTATGGAATGTAAACTATATGAGGACCCTAGTAGTAAAGGGGTATAAGTAAACTGCTGTGTTTTACATTATTATAAACTACAGTGTTTTTTAAGAATAGTTTATTTTGTTTCTTTGCGGAATATGGAGCGAGTGATAGAGGATTTACTTGCTAATGAGTTTCCTCCACCAAAGTAGATTGACAAGAAAAGGTTTGGAGGCCAGATAAGTGAAAAAACAGGATTGAAATAGCAAGAAACTTGGATGAAGCTTAAATGGACAAAAAACACAATACCAATGAAGCTACAAAGTTATAATAACTTGAAAATCATCATTGTTGGAATAAATGTACCAATATTATTTCGCAAGAACAAAGACTTTCAATTTTTAAAGAGTATTGAGCATTGGGCACTGGATTCTCCAAACAATTTTTCTAAATTGATCCAAATAGACTGAGCCTATAAAAAGAAAAAAACTAAATGCAGTTAGCAACAAAGAGATGTCATGTGTTTATAATCTGGAAAGTTTTAGAGTAAGTAAACAGTTTATAATGAAAATTCTTGATATCTCCAACAAATGTTTACAAAATGTAGTTGACAGCAAAAATGCCTGCTCAGGCATGTCATGAATAGGCAAAAGGGGAAAGAAATCACCTGAACAAAATTTCTCAAATGGAAATTGAAAACATAAAAGAGCATATTAATAAGTAAAAAAAAAGAGGTTAGTCTTCGTAAATGGGTATATTTATTTAAAAAAACCCTTAAAAGGGCTACATCAATAAGACAAACGTTTTCGGACCACACAGTCTATCATAAGGTTTTAAAATCGAAAAAATGCTAGGTCAAAATGCCTGAGCCACCAAAATACTAGGGTAAAAACCCTTTAAATTACATTTAGTTATAAAAGATTATACATTGTGTTGTAAAATAACTGTGATGTTCAGTATTAAATTAAATTTGGCTAGAGGTAACACATGGCTGAAGGGAGTTCCAGAGCCGGTGAGAGAACCTCTACATGCGGTGAACAGCTGGAAACTGAAAAAAAAATTTTTTTTTCCTTGTGGATTATATTAATAAGTATCCTAGGTACACAAGCCACTACACTAGAAATAAGACTCCCATTGCTAGGAGCATATAATTAAAAAACAAGTAAGTTTTAATTGTCAGTAAATTAAGAAACCACCTGATTGACATTCATATTATTGCCACATATTCCATCATGAAAAAACTGAGATGAAATGAATGATACTATTTTGATATAGAATTGGGCATCAAATTTAATTTCATATTGTTTAATTTAAAACAATTGTTTAATTAAGAAAATTCATTTTTAAAATCATTTCTAATAGGTAAGTCAAAAAGTCTAATAAACAGAATTAATTGCAAAATTATGGTCTATTACTAAGATATTTGATAGTTTTCTGTGTAATTCTTTTACATTTTAAGTTTCATGTGGAGGAAAAACCTTAGTGTCCCTGGTTAGGTTCATTGATTACATTATTTTACCTGTTTCTGCATAATAAACATCTGAATAAGCTTTTGCTATGTTGATTTTAAATACCTCATTTTAACTTAATTGATTAAATAAATCATCCACCTAATGGCACTACAGCCCAAATCATTTCGATTTACAGCTGTTCTTTTCCATGAATGTGTTCCCAGGCAGTTCCTGGCATCCTCATTGACTTCGTCTTCCTATCTCTTTTTAGGTCTTCCAACAGGTCTTTTTCCCTGCATTCTTGCATTTAGTAATTTTCTGGGGATTCTATTCTCATGCATTTGGACCACATGCCCTGCCCACCGTAATCTCTGCAGTTTAGTGTATTGTGCTAGAGTTGGTTCACTATATTGCTTGTATATTTCTCCTTTATTCCTAATTCGCCAGTTGTTGTTTTCACTTATTGGGCCAAGTATCCTATGTAATATTTTTCTTTCAAACATGTCTAATGCATTGGCAGATTTCTGTGTCACCACCCATGTTTCACAACCATAACTTACTATGGGCCTGATTATTGTTTTATAGATTCGGAGTTTTGTTTTCCGGTATACGTCTCGCGATTTGAATATGTGGCCCATCGCGAAATAGGCTTTATTTGCCAGCACAAGCCTTCTATTTATTTCCGGTTCTTCTTCATTGCATGCAACCAGATCCATTCCTAGGTATGTGAATCTATTCACATGTTCTATAACTATATCGTCAATAAAGTGTTGTTACGCCGGTCTATTTGATCTGGTTTGTATGAGTAGTTTTGTTTTATTTGTATTTATTGCTAGCCCTACTGCTTCTGCACTCTGTTTCAACTCAACCAACGTAGGTTTCTTCCGCTGCATTAACTGTTCTGCCCATTATGTTTATATCATCTGCGTATGCTGCTAATTGGGTAGATTTGTTTGTAAGTATGTTATTTCTGCTCACCGTCAACTGTCTAATTACATATTCAAGATCAAGATTAATTAGCGTTGAAGCCAGCCCGTCGCCTTGTTTTAGTCCTTGCGTTATCGTGAACGCATCAGCGATCTGTTCTTGAATACATACCTGTGCTTCAGTTTCTGTCATTGTCATTTGCACTAGTCATTTTAATTTTGATGGTATGCCAAATTCTTCCAATATATTAGGTAGAATCTATTTCTATTGATGTTCTAGTTCTATCTATTGAATCATAGGCTTGTTTAAAATCTACAAAGAGATTGTAAACATCCTGTTAAGGTGTGGATTTGGAAAATAAATAGTCGTACTTTACTACTATTATAAAAGGCTTTATTTCCTATAACATACATACTAATTAACTAACCTAACTTAAGCCACCATACTTCTTACTACCACCTACAACTACATGATACTCATTGACATTACTATTATTGTCTGTCATGTCAACCCATGACACTATGGGTGCGTTCCGCTTACTCTTACACCAATATATCTGTGTATACAATATAAATGTATTACATTCTCAACACGCCTCCTTACATTTACATTGTATTTACATTAATTCAAATTTAACATACTTCGAAATTTTTCAAATTTATCTTGGCCCAAGGACTTCGTAAAAATATCTGCAATATTATCATCAGAATCTACTTTAACCACATTTATAACATTTGCTTTAACATAATCATTTACATAATGATAATGAATTTCAACATGCTTAGAATTTTTTGTAAAATTGCCATAATTAGCTATACTAATTGTACCAGTGTTATCTTCATAAACATCAATTGGCTTTATTATTTCAATATCAAATATTTTCAACAATTCTTTTACAAATATCAATTCACTTACTGCTTCTGACAATGCTACATACTCTGCAAAAGTTGAAGCTTTTGTAACGCTTTTTTGTTTTCTAGATTTCCAATAAATTACATTACCAAACAATCTTATTACAAAACCAGTTGTAGACTTTCTATCTAAATGATCACCTGCCCAATCGGCATCCACATAACAATCAATAATACTTACTTTTTCATTTCTGTTATAAAACAATTTTAAATCTTTAGTTAAGCATAAATATTTCAAAATTCGTACAGCATATTTAAAGTGCGTTTCATTATAGCAATTTTGAAATCTACTCAGATAATTTACGCTGAAACTTATATCAGGCCTTGTTGCCGAACTTATGTATAATAGTGCACCAATTAAATTTTTATATTTAATATTTCTTTCACAATGATCAGATTTATCAATTTTTAAATTTACTTCCATAGGTGTATTATACAGTTTACCTTTTTCTAAATTATATTTTTTTCTTAATAATTCAATATATTTATTTTGATCCAATCTCATTTCATGTTTACTAGAATCATAATCAACAGTAATACCAAGATATTCTTTAATTTCACCAATATCTTTCATTTTAAATTTTTCTGATAATAAAATTTTAATCCTTTTAATTTCATTTAAATTTCTACCACAAATCAATAAATCATCGACATAAATTAATAAGTAAATAATATCATTTCCAATTTTATAAACGTACAAACAAGGATCAATATTACTTCTTTCAAAACCTAAATTTATCAAAAATGTATCTAGGCACTCATACCATGCCCTTGGACTTTCTTTTAAACCATATAAAGCTTTAACTAATTTACAAACTTTACTTGTTCCATCTTCGTAACCCTTAGGTTGTTTAATATAAACTTCAGAAATTACTTTACCATTTAAAAAGGCTGTTTCAACATCCATTTGTTCAATTACTAGGCCCATTTGACAACAATATGACAATAAAATCTTTAATGTTTGCATTTTAGCCACAGGTGAATAAATATCATCAATTTCATCAGTTTGTTGAAAACCTCGTACAACCAATCTAGCTTTATAAGTATTATCAGACTTTTTAGTATAAACCCATTTAACATCCAGAATATTTTTGTTTGTATCATTTTTAACCAATTTCCAAGTTTTACTTTTATTTAAACTATCAATTTCTTTGTCCATAGCTGTTTTCCAATACTTACTTTCATTAGAATTTATCGCCTCCTCAAATGTATGTGGTATATCAGTTCTACACATATTTACAAAAATACTACTATTATATACATAGTAGTCATCAAATTTCTTTGGAGGATTTTTGGCTCTGTGAGATCTAGGTAACTCAGGTTCATTTTTATTCACACTATCATCCATACTTTCATTTGTACTTTCAAAAGTTTCATCTATTGAGTCATTTTCAGAGCTTTCATCAATTTTATCAGGGTAACACTCTTCATTATTATCATTATCTGATTCGTTAAAGTCTAAACCTATACACTTAACGTTTTCTTCAACAATATCCACGTGTCTAGCAACAATGACTCTGCCATTTAATAATACACGATAACCAACATTACTATAACCAATTAAAATTCCCATATCAGCTTTCTTATCCCATTTAGAGATTCTCTTCTGTTCTGGTCTTCGTACAAAAACTTTACTTCCATACAAACGCAAATTAGAAACATCAGGTTTCTGTCCAAAAAATATTTCATATGGAGTTTTCTTTTCAATTGTATCAGATAAAGTACGATTTTTCAAATAAACCGCAGCACAAACTATTTCAGGCCAATATTTTTTATGAATATCTGCTTCAGCCAACAAACATCTTGACATATCCATTATAGTTCGATTAAACCGTTCTGCAGTCCCATTCAATTCATGTACATATGTAGGACAATTATCAATTACTATACCCCTTTCTTTTGCAAATCTGTAGACTTTACTGTTCAAATATTCTTTCCCATTATCACATCTTAAAATCTTTATTTTCTTTCCAGTCAAATTTTCACTTTCATTCGTATATTCATTCAAACAATCACATACTTCTGCTTTTGATTTTATAGCATATACTTTAGAAATCTTACTATAATCATCAATGAAAGAAACAAAATAATTTTCACCTTTAAATCCAGTAGTTCGAAAAGGCCCACAAACATCAGTATGTACAATCTCTAAAATATCTTTAGCTTTTTTTCTACTGTTTACAAACGGAATATTATGCATTTTACTTTCAATACAAATCTTACATTTCATAAATTCAGATTCAAACTCATTAGGAATTCCATTCAACAGCTGATCTCTAGATAAAATATTCAAATATTTAAAATTTACATGACCTAATAAACGATGCCATTTTTCCTTTTGATTCATATTATTCATATCTTTATTTGCAACATTTACATGCAATTCAACTGATTTTAATTTACTTTTCATAATATATAAGCCATTATTTTTTAAAGCAACTGCTGTTATATTACCAAGTTTATCAAAAACTTTTGAAATATTACCTAGAGAAATAATCTTATTATTTTCTGTTATTTTGCTATAACTTATCAAATTTGATTTCATATCTTTAACATAGAAAACATTTTGCATATCTACTAAACTCTTTTTACCAAAAGCATCAAAGTAACTTAAAACATTTCCAATTTTAGTAGCTTTTACAACCCTATTATCTCCTAAATAAACATTAATGGGATCTTTAAGTAATTTACATTTATCAAATAATTTTTCATCATTAATAATGTGGTCTGTACAACCACTATCTAAAAGCCATTTTATTTCAATACAATTATTTACATTACCTATTTCAGTATTTTGTGCAATAACTGACATATCCTTACCAAGAGCTACTGTTGTAAGCCAAGAAGCACTGTTTCGCTCTTCGTTCTTCTGTCCTTGTCGGTTGAACCGCTGTGCACTTGTTCCATGCGTTCCGCGCTGTCCACGTGAGTGGCCACGTCCTCTGACGTAGCTTCCTCTTCCGGCTTCTTGTCGACCTCGCGTTTCTCTCCACCAGCCTCTACTGCTTGTCGTTTGTCCGCCATTACCCGACGCTTGATTGGCGCCATTTTTGCAATCTCGCTTGAAATGACCAACTTCGCCACACTGGAAGCATGATCGATCCTGTCGACCTTTATTTACCACAAATGTACTGGATTTTCTTCCAAAATCATTGTTTTGATTTTTTAATTCGGACATCATAACCTTAGTTTTTACGTAGTCTGCAGTTTGATCATCTTCTTTTAATGTATCTATTAAATCACCAATATAACTGTACGACTCTGGCAACGTGTTTAACATATAGTTCAATTTTTCCTTTTCAGACACACTAGCACCCGCGCTTTTTAACTCGTTTATAGCTTTTTCGAAGTCACTAAAAAATGTTGCACAGTCTCCATAGTTGTTCAATTTTAATCTTTCCAAGTTATTTCTACATACTATCTGCAATGCCGTTGATTCTTTCAAATATAAATTATCAAATTTCTTTATCATCTCATACGCCGTAGTTTTTTCGTCGATGTACTCCATCTGTCGATCCGATATTGCACCGCATATATAATTCATTGCTTTTACATCATCGTCATCCCAATTTGTATCATCATTTTCATTTTTCGGTCTGGTTACCACAACATCACACTTCTTCATTTTCAAAAATAGCATAAGACGTTTTTTCCACATTTTATAATTCTCCCCATCGAATATAGGTATTCTAAAATCACTACTACCTGCCATCATGTGTCACACTTTTTTTTTCAAACTGCACCAAACTTTTTCTGTTGTAAAAGGTACGACTTTCCAACCACGCTCTGCTACCATGTTAAGGTGTGGATTTGGAAAATAAATAGTCGTACTTTACTACTATTATAAAAGGCTTTATTTCCTATAACATACATACTAATTAACTAACCTAACTTAAGCCACCATACTTCTTACTACCACCTACAACTACATGATACTCATTGACATTACTATTATTGTCTGTCATGTCAACCCATGACACTATGGGTGCGTTCCGCTTACTCTTACACCAATATATCTGTGTATACAATATAAATGTATTACATTCTCAACACATCCATGTCATATTCTCATGCTTTGGCTAGTATTTGTTTAATTGTAAATAGTTGGTCAATGGTAGATCTATTTTGCTTGATATTCCCCAATGATTTTTATTGTAAGAGGTTGAAGTCTATTAATGATGTTTGTGAGTATTTTGTATCCCGAACAAAGTAAAGAGATGCCTCCATAATTTTGACACAACAGTTTGTCTTCTTTTTTATGAATAGGGCAGATTATACTTTTCTTCCATTGTTGGGGATTTCTTCTTCTATCCATATCTCTGGTATTAGCTGGTACATCTGTTGTGTCAAATTCCTTCGTCCTTGCTTGAATAGTTCTGCCGGTATTTTATCTATTCCCGGTGCTTTATGGCTTTTTTGTATGTGGATTGCCGTTTGGACCTCCTTTAGCGTTGGGGGTCTAGTTAATTCATTTTCTTCTCCATCTTCCCCCAGCTCTTGTACCTCCTGCAGTGCCTGCTGCTGCCTCTGTTGTTGTAATGGTGGTTGTGTCCTTTGTTTAGTAATTCCTTAAAATATGTCATCCAGGTTCTCTTAATTTCGTCCATATCGCTAATGATTTCACCCTTCTTATTTTTGCAGAGGCTAGTCTTCGGTTTATTATTCAATAAACCAGACAAAAGAATTATGTAAAGCCAAATAGCAGTACCTTTGACTTCTGTAATCAAACAAGTATACATCAAACAACAACTATTATTTGTTAATTTTTCTTGTAGATGCGAAGATATATCGTGGATCAGGACAAATATAAAGAATCCTGGTCATTCTAAAACACTAGACCCCAAGGCAGTATTTCAAAGGACTAAAGAGCATTGCCTTATGGGCATTAAGGGTACAGTAAGACGATCCACTGATGGTGATTTTATACATGCCAATGTAGATATAGACTTAATAATTTCGGAAGAAAATGAATATGGCAGTTTGGAGAAGCCGGTTGAGATTTTTCACATTATTGAACATTTTTGTTTAGGTAAGAAAGTTTTTCATGTTGGCCTTTTCAAATAATTATGTGACTATGAATAACACACAATCTTGCATTTATATCTTTGCATCTTGCTTGCTTTTTGAAACCCAGGCTCACAAGCTACTACTTGATTCCACTTTTGAAGAGTTCGTGGAGGAGGCAACATGTTAGGAAAAGTTTTTCTGACATACAAGTAAGCTTTTGGTGAATAGAAATTAAGAGTGAGAGCAAATCTTTTTAACTCCGGTGGAGATGTTTTAGTGCTCTTAGATTTAAGTAGCTGCTTAAAGATAGTTTTTGCAGAAGTATGCATCGTATCCTAATAAAATAAAAAGCAGTAATCAAAACTTGATCGACAAACTACAAACAATATAAAATAATAAACTGTTATACATGCAAAGCTAAATAGATCACTAATAAGAAGTATTAATAATTTTCCTTACCGAAAGTTTCAGAGAGGAATTTCATCGATCATCTGTTTTTCTTTAAGATGTTCTAATAAAGATTTTAAGGTATTTACTTTTTTAATAAGCTTTTTATTTCTTGTTCAAAGTCACCAAGATAATGTCTTTGCCTTTTCAAGGGAGGTTCTAAGGTAGTTTAGTCTGAAATTTCTACTGGAGTCTTTATGGTGGTAGATTCACTGTTGTAGATAGTTGTTATATTTTCCCTTTTAGATCCTGTTGGTTTAACTGAGACAGTTTCTCTTTTTACTGGAAATTTTCTAGTTGTAACTTGCTTAATTAAATGGTTTGGAAAATCGAAAATGCTGGGTACAGCATCTTTTTTTAGTTGTTTTTTTGAACTCCAGCCGCTAGTAATATACGAATCTGCTGTGAAATGTTTGGAGCAAATTTTAGAACTCTTTGTTGGTTTAAAATTTTCACGGCACATCGCTATAATCCATTTTTTTGCAATGATGAATCTTTAGGAAATATAAAACAATTTATTTACTTAATCCTTCAGTTTTTAATCTAATTATAAAATGAAAATTATATATAAGACTTTCTCATATGTATCTATTTTAAATACTTTGGGAGGGAAAAGTAAAATAATAGGTGCTAATTTTCTGGTATATTTTTCAATTTTGTGGATTTACTTACCCATGAAATGATATATCTGTGCCTTTTTTTGTCGCTGCGTACAATTAAATGCACTGCAAGATAACACCATAATTAAAATATTAATGTATTGGAAAATTTTTAAATTGGAACACTGTAAAAAGTTTACAGCGCCTATAAACACTTCTAATCTCTATCGTTTCTACCGTAAACTGACGTCACTCACAACTGTGTGAATCGTTTTATGTTGGCTTCACTCTTCGAGACGAGAGAATAGCATTACGGCGTGTCTATCAGTTTTTATTATTACACGTTAGGATTATTAAAAACCATTATGCAACCTTTTTTTTTTATTTTTTTTTACCTATTCTCTATCCTTCCATTGTTGGATATAGGTCTCCCCCAGTTCTCTCCATCTTTCCCTATCTTGAGCTGTTCTCTGCCATGTGGGACCTCCTTGTTTCCTGTTGTCATCTTTCCACCTCATCTGTGGTCTGCCTCTTGATCTCTTTGCATTGTATGGACGCCACTTTCCTATGGCATTGTTCCATCGTCCGTCTTGGAGACGTTCATTGTGTCCAGCCCATTTCCATTTCAGTTTTGCTGCTTCAAACAGCCGAAATATCGAGACGAGAAAGAATGGGATGGGCAGCGTTCGGCAAACTTTCTTGAGTTCTAAAAAATCAAACAATCCCTCTATACTTACGAAGCAAGGTATATAACTCCTGTATAATACCGGTGCTCACCTACGGAGCACAGACATGGACATTTACACAGGCCAATTTGGATAGGATAAGGAAGGCACAAAGAGCGATGGAGAGACAAATGTTGGGTATATCACTTAAAGATAGAAAACGTAACCAGTGGATCAGAACCAGAACAAAGACAGTAGACGCGATAGAACAAGCAGCAAAACATGCAACCGTTACTTGTAACAAACTGGAAACAACATCATAGTGTAAGGTTTTGTCACACACATGTGTTTTATCGCACATTTGTGTGATAATTTGATAAAAAGTTACTCACTCTATAAACCAAATTCCATTAATCTCTAATTAAGGGCTCATTTTTAAAATATGTGTATTTAATTGTGTATAATGTTTTATTTAAGGAAGAAGAAGACTACACATATTTGGCAGAGATAGTACAATCCGTCCAGGGTGGCTTACAATTGGTCCTGAATTAACAAATTCCAATTTCAACTCAGACCTTTATCTAAGTTATTTCACACCTACTAGTCTTACGACCAGTTGCACTGATAGAATAGAAGCCTTAAGACCTAAGAGTCCTCCGGCTAAAGGCAAAGGAAATAGTGGTGGTAGGGGTAGGAATAATTTTCCAAGAGGAAGAGGACGAAGTCGCTGATGTGGATTTTTTAAGATTGATATTTTTTTATTAATGCAACGGTTCTTTTTTACAAATGTCTGATTTTAAAATCATATGTGATATTTTAAGCTGGAATTTCAGTTTAATATTTTTAAACATGAATTGAGATGTCAGATTTTAACATAAAATTTAATTGACGTTGTAATAGAATAGGTAATAAAAGGCATTTGTGTAACTGTGTACATATTTTACTTTGCCATATTTTTCCTTTATTAAAAATGCGAAGAACAAGTATGATGGACGCAGTTTGGATTCCGCGATTCCTTAGGTACCCGAGAAGCTCTATTCGCTGTCCAAGTGCTTATGCAAAGATGCAGGGATGTTAACTGTGATGTGTATACTTGTTTTATCGACTACAAAAAGGCATTTGATAGAGTAAAGCATGATAAACTTATAAACATTTTGAAAGAAGTGGGGTTAGATGATAGGGACTTGAGAATCATTTATAATTTATAATACAACCAAACAGCCAATATTAAAGTGGATGACCAATTGACAGAAGCAGTCTCCATAGATAGAGGAGTGAGGCAAGGATGCATTCTGTCCCCGGTGTGATTTAATATATACTCTGAATATATCTTAGAGCAAGCGCTAGGTGAACTACAAAAAGGCGTATTAGTCAACGGAATGCGTCTAAACAACATTAGCTATGCTGACGACGCAGTAGTTTTTGCAGATAGTCTGGATGGTTTGCAAAGAATAATGTCGCGTATATCAGATATAAGTAGAGAACACGGACTTAATACGAAGAAAACAAAGTACATGGTAGTCAGTAAGCGCGAAATATTAAATACACAGCTTTTGGTTAACCAACATCCAATTGACAGAGTGGACAGCTACACATACTTTGGTACCAACATTAATAGCCAATGGGATCACTCCAGTGAAATAAAACAACGCATAGGAAAAGCGAGATCAGCGTTCATAATGATGAAGTCTCTTTTCAGAAGTCATGATTTACCACATGCTACCAAAATCTCTATCATTAGATGCTATGTATTTTCTACGTTATTATACGGAGTAGAGGCCTGGACACTTTCTTAAGTTCGATAGAAGGTTAGGGAGAAGAAAGAGGTATGAGAGGTCTAAAAGAGAGGAAGATAAGGATATAGTTAGAAATACCCGCGAGAATGAAAAGGTTTTACAGCATTGTCAAAGCAAGGAATATGTCATCAAGAATATTTAATGTGTGGCAGGCTAAAACTGGAGAGTTAAAGATTCTATGTTGAAATAAAGCAAAGATGGTATGAGTAGGTACCTTAGATTAGTAAATAAAGAACACCAGAGGAAAGACAGATTTAAATAGGAAGAAGAATGGTAGGACCTAATGGAATGCCTGTGGAGGTTTGAAACACTCTAGGAGAGGAACGGGTTGATGTGTTGTGGTAAATGGTGAGTAGGTCGAGGAAGAGAGGATGAAAAATAAATAGAGGTAGAACGTGATGATTCTTCCTGTATAAAGATAAAGGGGAAATTCAGGACTGTAAAATTTGCGAGAGATATCAGTAAGAGAAGAACAATTTGGATTAATGTCATAAAGAAGGACCACAAATGCCTTGTTTGCTGTGAGATATTTGATAGAGAAATACGGTGAGAAGAAAAGAGAGCTACATGTGGTATTTATGCCTTGAGAAGGCGTAGAATTCCCGGACAAGGCCTATTAGATGTATGAGAGAGAAATGAGTTCCTGAGAAATTCCAGTCTCAGAAAGTTTTCCATTGATGATTCTTTTGCATCAAGGCTCTTCAATGAGTCTGTACCTGGTTAATCTTGTTATAGATGTACCAATAGACTAAGGTAAGGGAGAGGACTCCTTGATCAATGCTCTTTTCGGATGATATCGTGTTAGTGGAGGACAGCAAAGAAATGTTGCAGGAGAAGTTGAAGGGTTGGAGAAGGGCTATTGAATAGAGAGGACTTAATTAACTGCTTCATAAGTTAATTAAGTAAGCCAATGGTTTAGATTTTCCTTTCTTTCTTCGCTCATCTTTTGTTTGTTTGTAACACTAAGTAAATGATATGATATAAACACATAAAGAAAAAGAAATTAAAGGATTCTCTTGTGAATATCAGTTACTATGGTTTATTCTATTCCGAAACGGATATATAGCGTTTCATTATATTTTATAAAGAATAAATGTGTCAATATGACAGCTTAACAATTTAATGAACGACGACGTCAAGATAAATACGACAGAAGGAATTATGTTTTGGAGTTAGTAAAAAAATTCTAGGAAGCTGGGAATGTACTTTGGTAATGAAAAACGAGAAACTGGGTGGCCTGTAGTTAAGGAACCTAGCGTAGTCACAATATTATGATATGTTCACAGATTCGATGTTTAGTACGTCCAAGCCATTTTGAAGAAGAACAATCTCCATCCATATAAAATACTCTTAACGCATGATAATGACCGCCGCGCTGTTGACAGTTTTGTGAAATAATCATGTGTTTACAATTGAAATACGTGCTTAATTCTGCCTTGACTGATATTACCTATTGAAAACGATCAACAATATGATGAAGATCATTTGATTTTTCAACAGGATGGTGTTCTTTCGCATTATGCTTTACTTATTGGTCAATAGTTGGACAAAAAATTTCCACGACATTCCTATCTTTAAAAGATTTACGTCAACGAATGTCTAACGAAGTACGAATCACTCCGCAAATGTTTCGGAATGTGCAAAAACTTTCCGAACAAACCTTTATAACTGTATGGACACCGGAGGTGATCAGTTTCACCATTTGGCCAATTAAGAAATAAACAACCAGCTAAAATATTGATTTTAAATTTTATTTTTTTTTTCTAATAAATCAAGTAAAGCACTTGACTAAAAATTTAAATGTTTAAGAGTGTGGCAATGTCCAATCGGGAGATGTGCTCAAGTATATGTTGTCGGGCAACTTCCATTTGGTGGAGGGTCAGGTATGGTACGGGGAGGCATAACGTTTGACGCTCGCTCGAGATGTTGATCTTTATCATATGATCTTGTCATAGGTGTCTGAAACAGATTCTAGAAGACCATATTTTACCTTTTATATTTATTCTCGGAAACTACGCAACATTTATGCATGATAATGCACGGCCCCATACTGCTCGGGTAGTTACTGAGGACCTTGACGAGCAATTACACAATTGGTTTGGTTTGCTCGAAGGTTAGATATAAATCCCATAGAACATGTTTGTGATGATATTACAATATTTAAAATAATATATAGATTGGATAGCTTCAACACACGTTCAGGACGACTGGCAAGCGATAAGTGACGTAGCCGGCTTGTGCGCTTCACCACTGAGTCATGGAACTCTGAACTATAAGGTCTCCCAATAAGAATGTCCTGATGTTTTTTTTTAACGAAACGGTAAAAATTAATGTAAATCAAAAAAAGAAAAGTTTATTGCAAAATATAATAGATAACAATTATGTTCTGAATAACACATCATTCAAATGTCCCCCTCTACTACGTTTGCAGGAGCGAATCCGATGAACCCAATTTTCGGTCACTTTATGCAAAATATCCGCATTAATCTCACGAATGGTGTACTCTATATTCCTCTTCAAGTCTTCAATGGATTGTGGTTTATTCACATAGACCAATGACTTAAGATAGCCCCATAAAAAATAATCCAATGGTGTTAAATCGCAGCTTTTTGGAGGCCAAGCATCTGGTCGAAGTTGCTGAATTCTCCTGGGATCTCTGGCATCAAGAGAAATCAATGTTTCCGGGAACTTTTCCTTCAATAAATCAATGGTTGGGGCAGTAGTGTGACATGTGGCACCGTCCTGTTGAAAAAACATGCCATCCAAATCCATTTCATCCAACTGAGGCCACAAAAAATCCGTTATCATCGTTCGATACCTTTCACCGTTAACTGTTACACCATGTTCGAAAAAATAAGGTCCGATGATGCCACCATGCCATAAACCACACCACACAGTGACTTTTTCTGGATGCAAAGGTTTCTCAAGAATCTCATGTGGATTATTTTCACTCCAAAAACGACAATTTTGCTTATTCACAAAGCCGTTTAACCAAAAATGAGCTTCATCGGAAAAGATTATTTTTTTGAAAAAATCGCCATCATTTTCGAGTTTGTCTAGAGCCCAATCAGCGAACAAACGACGCTTATGATGGTCAAGTGGCTTCAGTTCTTGAGTCAGAACAATCTTGTAAGCGTGTAGGCCTAAATCTTTTCTCAGAATTCGCCAAGTTGTCATTCTGGCGAGTCCAAGTTCCTGAGAACGACGATTTACGGACACATTTGCATTCTCCGCTACACTGGCTATTACAGCAGCAATATTGTCCTGAGTTCTTGCATTTCGGCGTCTAGTTGGTGATTTCGTATCCTGCAAAGTAAATTCACGTTCAAACTTTTCCACGATTCGACGAATTACACGCACATCAGGACGATCATTTGGTCCATAACTTTCACGTAATGCACGATAGGTATTCACAAAAGAACGATTATTAGGATAAAATTTTAGGATAATTTCCAAACGTTGTTCAAGCGTATATCTTGCCATGGTAATTTGTTAGAGTATACTAAATACAAACGTCAAAAAGTGACAGTTCCATCATTTTCAAAATGGCCGCTAAGACATTTCAAAAACAGGACGTCCCTATTGGGAAACCCTGTAGTATGTATACCATTTGCACTCACTGCCACCACTATTCAAATTAAAATGTTACATAACTTTTCAATAACGGTCCAGCTATTGTTAGTTTTATGGATTACTGTCAAAACCCATATTTACTGAATTACTTCAAAACTATTTGACACTCAGATGTTTTATTTATTTCAGAACTTCATGACTAGATTATAAATAGCAAGTTTTACATACGGCTGAACTCGTATTGGGTTAAGGATTCCAATATTAATACAATATACATAGCGTTGTATTTAAAAAATCAGAGTGGCCAATAATATCAGAAAAATGGTAAATCTGGCAACGTTGCGAAATCTCAGTATTTTAAATAGGCGTGTACTGTTTTTTTTTTTTTAATTAGGACCATTCATTTAAGAAAAAAAAATAAGTATATCAAGACTTTTGGTTGACTCTGTATATTTCTCATGTATGTTTGAATATTTATTTTGATTTCAACTCTAGCCATATCCCTTACTTTTGATGAGCAGTTTATTTCAGGTTCTTATATTAAACTTAATTACTTCTGTC